GGGCCAGGACCTCCAGCTCCATCCAAGTTGCCGCCAGCAGAGTTGGCAAAATTGCAGTGCGACGCCGTGTAAAACCTATCGAGAACGCGTGCCCTCTGTAATGACATCGCCTTCTGTGGGCGCCTAGAACCTGGCGGCCGCAAGACGGAGCTCCAGCCGTCCCAGCAACGCTGCAGATCAACCCAAGTCATGTCGTCCACGTCCTTCAAGTTTTGCTGTAGCCGCAGCGCGCGAGCAGCCCATGGCCAGCCAGAGGCTCGAGCATGCTCTTGTACTTTCTTGACCACCGAGTGCGGCGTCTCGGCAGCGGAGTCGTCCAGTGGTATTTCTTCCATGGATCGTACAAGGTGGTCAAGATCGGGGGCCGTGCCCGTGCCGTCTGGATTCATAGCTTCAACTTGGGCGCGCCAGGCAGAGCCAGGCGATAGCACCCAATTGCTGAGGTCATCGTGGCGCGATGCTGGGTATCGGTCGCATTGTGCAATGGCTCGGTCACGGATTCCAGGTTGCCGCAAGCGCCCTAGCAAGTAAGGCAGCGTGTCGAAGGCCTTGAAGTGCGGCACCGCCAAAGCCCAGAACGCTCGAACCACTCCTTGGACATTGCTGGTAAAGCCCACGTCGCCATCGTATTGGCGGCGCGTCCAAGCATTGCTCTCTCGCAACATTGTGTTGAGCACGCTCATGGCATGATCGTGCGCCCACGGTAGAAGACGGCCTTGAAACCAGCAAATCGGACGCTCACCTCGCTCCCACTCGTCGGCGTGACAGTGGCACGTTCCAATCCAACCGGGCACAGGGCCGACGTGAGAGCACACCCATGCGACGAATTTGAATTGGGTCAACCACCTGTTTCGCGGATCTGTAGCTTCTGCGACATTCCTCATATTCGTCCTGGACTCCTCCTCTTGCACGTGGCCGAAGATGAGGATGTCAAAGTTGAGCATGAAAGTGTGTGCGATCTTCTCCAGCTCCTCGCAAATACGGGGCAAAGTAGACCAGCGCCACTTTGCGAAATTCACCAAGGTGGTTTGCTTCAGGGCAGCAGCGTAGCCCTTCCTCCCTAATATTGTGGCGTGCCTCCTCATGGTAAGATTGTGATCTTTGTTCCGCGCCAAGTAAACGATTGCCTTCAAACGCTTCAGAAAGACAGGCCACCAATCACACATGTGAAGACCTCGGCGTAGAAGATTGCCCCACGTATGCTTCCATCCAGGCCCCCTCAGCGCCCTCGGAAATAAACGATGTTGGCGACCACTGCGAGGATCCCACTTACCCCCGATGGCAACGATGAACTCTGGTAGGAGGTCCCCGACGTGGCTGAGCAAGCGCTCGGTCCCACTATCCGTCGTGATGGCGGCGACGCAGTTGCAGAAGGATCTCAGAGCGGCGACGCTAGGCCCCACAAGAAGCCACAACTGCCAAAGCAAAGCAAACGTTTTACCCCGAAGATTAAGTTGTCCTGAATGCAAGCTCACGCATGGGTGCATCCGCCGATGTCGAAAACCATCCGTAATTGAGTCCATGTTCACTGCGTACATCTCTGTCCCTCGCCACTGCGGGCTACCATCAGCAAACAAGAACGCGTAGGTTTTGCGCAAGTCCACATTCTGCCAAAAGCTCCGAAACAGCGTGCAAGAAACCAGGTCAAGCCTTGCCATCGATTTTCGCACTACCTCGACGTTGATGCCCCCTGCGTCTGCGCACAGCTCCCCAGCCAATGCACTGCATTGCACAGCTATCTCAGTAAAGGCAAGTGTTGCATCATTTGACTGCCGCTCGAAATCCTTCAGGAACCGAGTGGCGCGAAGCCATCTGATCACGGTTGCCACGTCCGTAGCACCATAAGCTGGTTTGGAAGGGTCATTCGGAGGGTCAGCAGGGCCGCGCCCATCAGTCGGTTGTTGATCGGAATTCGAGCGTAACCACTTCGCCATGAGTTTGGACGACGGTTTGTATGGAAACCATGCTTGTGATTGAATCCGACGTGTGATTGCAACCGCATAGAAACAATATTCTGGACCTTTCACCGCATCCTTCGCCAAACTGTAGCTCAAGCGAATCCCATGAATAGGAAAATAGGTTTCCAACAACTCTGCCAAAGTAGATCCCCCCCCGACAATTGGGCAGCCGCTGCAATTGTTCAAGATCTCTTCAACCCCCGAAGTGTCGTCAACCTGATCAGGTTCGGCGAGTTCCCACGAGATGCCCTCATAACAAACGAAACCGAAGACTGCCACCTGCCTGCTTGACAAGCATGCGCGTGCTGCGGCTGTTGTCCATGCGAGATTTGCAGCGCCTGTGCCAGCCGATATATCCGCGCAGGTTCTCAAGTTCCACGTCCCGTGGATGAGGCCGACGAGGTAACCCTTATCACCGAACTCGTCGCCCGCAGGCGGTGGGCCACCCTCCATCGATGTGGGTAAACGGTTTGGCCATCCATTCTTGTGCGCGATAACTAAGAAGAATGCTGGAGACCCTTGGCAACAAATGCTGTCCAGATGCCTACGACGTCGAGGCCGGACGATGGGGTCAGCACCGTCGTCTCCAATGATGCCGTCTTCGGACCCATCTGCATCCACGGGAGAGCCTGGGTCTCCTACCACACTGTCCTCTTCATCATCCATACAATCACTAGCGTTATTGAAGAGAGAAACGTGGTTGAAAGAATTTCGCAAAAGCGAACCAGCATCCTTTCTTTGAGCCCAAACGGCTACGCGTGGTGATGGTTGCGGTGGTAACGAACATGATGTTAATGATGGTAGGGGTCTTTAGACACTCACCTTTCTTTGTTTTCTGCAATGTCCTGCTCCTCATCCCTCTTATCTTCATTGTCCTTCTTCCCTGTGTATTACTCTTGCTCTTACTCATACTCCCCTCATCCCCTCCTCCCTCCCCCTCCCACTCTCCACCCATTCTCAAGACGGGCCCTCAGAGACGCCAAAGCTCCTCAGTATCGCTGCACGCCGCCCCAGAACGCATGACAGAAAGTATCAACAAAGTCCCCGATCAACGCTAAAGTGTCCGAGGGGTTCCACTCATCCCGAATACCTGCGCAATCATACGGCGTGTCCGTTGGATAAGGAATCGTTGCTCTCATACATATACTTCGAATTACTCTGGAGCGGGAAGGGTAATCAGGATTTGTTTGTTCGGGGTGCCTACATCATCTACAATGCTAGTGACGTATTTGGCCTTCATCGACAAAGGTTGAAATTCTCATCCTAAAACCAAAAACTGTTTAGGGGGAGCTCTACTGGGGAAGGGTGGGTTGAGACCTCACCCGACAGCGACGAGGGCAGCTTAGCCTCGAACGCATGTTTCCACACCCCCTGCTGGAACCCCTCCCCCCTCCCCTCCCCCCCTCCCCTCCCCCCGGCAAAACACCCCCCCTCCCCTACACTCCCCCCCCCCTCGAACTCGAAAACCGGGGGGGGGGTCACTACCGGTTCGAACCCCCCCCCCCCCGCAAACGACTCCCGGTCCCTCCCACCGTCCTCACCACATCCCCCACTGTTGTTCCCAGCACCACTGTCCTCACCACCACTGTCCCCGCTGGTTCCACCACCGCCCCTACTGTCCCCACCAGTGCCACCACCACTGTCGCACTGTCCCCACTGTCCCCACCACTGTTCCCACCGCGGCTCCACTCTCCCAAATTTCTCCACGACTATCCCCATTGTCCCCACTGTCCCACTGACTCCTCCGCTGTCCCACTGAGCTGTCCCACTGTTCCCACCACTGTCCCCACTGTCCCCACCACTGTCCCCACTGTGCCTCTTTCCCATTGTCCCACAGGCGTCGTCGCCACCGCCTTCACCAGTGTCCCCACCACCACCACTGTACCCTCCACTGTCCTACTGTTTCCACCACATTTCCACTGTCCCCACACCACTGTCCCCACACCACCGTCCCCACCACTGTCCCACTGTCCCCACTGTTCCCACCATTGTCCTCACCATTGTCCCCACCACTACCGTCCCCACCAATGTCCCACTGTCCCCACCACTGTCCCACTGTCCCCTCGCCACTGTCCCCACCACCGCCGTCCCCACCACTGTCCGCACCCCCCCCCTCGGTTTTCGAGGGGGGGGGGGGGCTCGAACCGGTAGTGACCCCCCCTGGTTTGCGAGTTCGGGGGCGGGGGGGGGGGGTTCGAACCGGTAGTGACCCCCCCCCCTTTTCATGATGAACTGGGGGGGGGGGGGGAGGGGTTCGAACCGGTAGTGACCCCCCTCGGTTTTCCGGACGGGGGGGGGGGGAGGGGTTCGAACCCGTAGTGACCCCCCCCGGTTTTCCGCCAGCAGCGGTAGAACACGCTCTTTCGAACACCGCAGGGCCCAGGTGGGTCCAGGGGGTGCGCCAGCCGCGGTCATTGGGGAGGCCCCCGCCTTCAGGGTCGGCGGCACCGGCCGCAAAGCCTTCGCAGTCATCAGTCATCGTTCAGCAGACACACAGTGTCCGTTCTCTCCCTAAGAGATCCATAATCGACAAGATCAGGGGCCGCGACTGCATTGCCGGCCAACTGGGCCCGCGCGATTGTCGCGTGAATGCTGAGCTCATGGGAGCTGGCGTGTCGAAGCCAGCCGCCATCTCTGCATGACCAGCGCCGGCTGGGCTCGTGTCGGCTCTTCCTGCCGCTGCCTGCTTGACTCAAACTGAACGTAAGAGCCAATGCCTCCGGTGTCCGAATCCAGAGTGTGCACCCTGGTACCCAAGTGCGGAATCTCGGGCGGCTGCTGTCTCAGACGATCGGGACACCCCGCTCTCCCTCGCAGCGGAGAGGCCTAGCGAGGGGGTGCAGAGCTCCTGGCTCTGACTTCACCCCAACTTCTGCGTGATAGAACTGCGAGGGACTCGCGCCAGCTGTTGCTTTCCCAGGAACAGTATGCACCAAGAAGACGCAGAGATCAGGCAACTGCAGCTGACGAAATGCTGCAACTCTTGGGCGACATCGTGGGGGTGGGTGGGCGATGGTGGCGGTTGCAGCGAAGACGCCTTTTTTCACCCAACGCCGCTCGCGCGATCACAGTCTACCAGCCAAGGTGCGACATGCGGGGGCGACCGATGACGCGAATCATGAAGCCATGACAAGTGATACGTGCCTACGGCTGGGGTGCCGCAGTGCATCGAGGATGGAGAAGAGGATTGTAAGCATGAAGGGGCGAAGATGGGAAGCGAAGGGAGGTGGCACAGGGCAATAACGCACACCACAACTTATCACATGTGTTGTTCAAAGAATTAGGTCTATTGTTTTGACTGGATGAAGCCATCACAAATGGCAAGGAACTGTGAGCACGCAACCACGCCAAGAGAAACGATCAATGACGTAACGCGCTTGCCGCCGAGCGGCTTCAAGTGACAAAACAACTGTGGGGCATTCTTATATGCCTATAAGATGCTGCTGCTGCCCATTAATGATCGCCGTCACGTGCCTCCTGGCACTTCATGGGATGGTATAGTGTTGCAATGGTAACCTGCTGACTTAAAATAATTTCAGACGCCCTTCCCCCTCCTCCTCGCGTTCCCTCTACCAGCTGAGCCGACCAAGATGACCCCATGACTGCCGAAGCCCTCAAGAGGGTCCCAAGACGTCTGCAAGACGGCCAGGATGCTCTTCCAAACGCCCCACGAGAGCCCAAGATGGAACCTGCAGCCCCCCCCTCCCAAACGCTTGAGGAATGCCCGCCAAGTGCCCCCCCGATGCTTCAAAACAGGCCATGCGTGAGGCTCTCGACGATGGTGTCCGCCTCTCAGCTACTTTCGCCGATCGGGGATGGACAGACCCCCCTTTAGTAAAACGTGGTTCAGTGAAAACGACCTGAGGCCCAAACCTGGCGGGCGCAAGCCTGGAAAATAACGGCCGCGGCGCCCTCTCGAGAACCAAAAACGGACAATTCACTAATCGACGTGTCACTGTTGGGGGTTCTGTCCACCCCCGAGCCGAAAGAAACCTCAAGAGCCCTCCGATGCTCCCTACTGTAAATGCAAGGTACAAGAATCCGAAACCAGCCTCACGTCCAGAAGGGGGCCCTGACGCAGCCCCGGACCCTCCCGAGGACGTGCCCAGAACGTCACGAGCCTGGCTCAGGAGTGCCTGCCCCTTGAGACTTTTCCAGACCGCCCCGCGAAAGTCTCTGGGCCGCCCCAGGAGGACGGCAGACACGCCGGGGGCCGCCCAGTCTGTTCACGCAACATCGCCGAGAAGTCCGAAGATTCTTGGGATTTCTTGGGCCAAGGAGTCCCAAGCAGTCCCAGATTCTCGGGCCAAGAACTACCAAAAGGCCTCGCTAGAGACCTGCAGAAGAGGAGCTGCCACCACAAGTAAATACAACGGCGCCCTGCCCTCCGGCGAAGGTCAGCGCCCCTATGTCCCAGCGGTCTGTGGGCGGAGGGAAAGCAAAGCAGCGTATTGCGGCCACCTGTGACCTGGAACAGGGAGATGCCACGTGTGACAGAGCTCGGGGCCCTGTGAATATTACATTCTCGTCCCGGGAATTTGGGGGCCAGAGCTGTCGCAGGTCGTCGCTCGCCGGAGCCTATGCCTCAGCCTTCCGTGATTTCTGCACCGGCTCTGCAAGCATGTGACTAGCAACCTGGGGATGTCCCTTTTGCAGCTCCTGGCGAAAGGCCCGAGGTAACCAAATATTGGATACGAAAAAAACAACTAATCGATCGGCGCATGTCTTAGTTTACCTCGTCCGACAAAGAAAGTCCACCAACGCAGTCGGTGTGTGAGAGGCCTCTCGACACGACGCCAGTCCAATCCAACCTGAGGTACGCCAGCCTCCCCTGAATCGTCGTCGTCGTAAGAGAGATCGCACAAACAAAGAGATCGAACAATGTCGAACTTACGTCGGATAATAACCCCTCCCCTTTGTCCCTTTCCCGCCGTGGGGGGGGTGGTCCTGGGGAGAGGCCCGGAGGGACCCCATAGGGAAAGCGCTCCCGCTCGAGACTTCCTCGCGATCCACTCACAAACGGGGCTCCCGTTCGAGACTTCTTTCATATTCAGGCCTGAGGAGCCCAAATGTGACGACACTGAAAAAGTTTTGGATGACCCCGCCAGGATGCGAACATGGAGGTGGGGACCGCATTAGGAGGGGCTCCCGCTCGAGATTTCCTCGTCATTCACTCGCAGACGAGACTCCCGATCGACAAGTCCTCAAGATGACTGTGTGAGCGTGTGAGTGCGCGAGTGAGTGTGAGTGTGGGGATGACGATGACCGACGGCCATGATGGGATGATACTGATGATGGCGGTGTGAGGGCGATGATTAGTGCTGGTGGTGATGATGATCATCGTCATGATGATGATGATGCGGAGTGGTGAATGATGATGATGCTAATGTGTGTGTGTGTGTGTGAGAGTTGGTGAGTGCGTGACTGCGTGTGAGGTGGTGATGATGGTGGTGATGATGATGGTGATGATCATGGTGTGGCGGCGAGTGAGTGAGTGAACGAACGAGTGAGTGGGTGGGTGAGTGAATGGGTGGTGATGAGGATGATGCTGAGGATGATGACGATGATGAATGCGCGAGTGCGTGACTATGTGAGTGAGAAATTGAGGGTGGATGAGAGGAGGTCCTGCACGGAGGGTGTGCAAAGGAAAGAGAACCCCCACTGTGGACACGGGGAATAAGCAGCCTGCACAACGAAACATATTGGCAACACACAAAGCAAAATGGAGCACGCGAGAGTCGTCACACGGATCCGTCAATCCAATTTCTTGCCATATCGCACGAGCTCGGCCTGCAACAATGGAATCAACCACGCGCCCACCGCATGATGTGCACACACATAACAAGCACGATTAATCCTCCGACTACGTAACTGGCCCGAGATTGTGATGCAATCCGTAATCCGACCAAACGCACACGCTGTGTGACGGCTACCATACAAATCCGGACGGTTCGCGCACACAGGTCATTCATCATGCACCTCGCTATCGACTGTACGCAACCACCGCGTCTGGACACGACGTGGACTCATTCAGCTGAACTGCACCTACAACGAACACATCAACTTGATGTTCTGAATGCCTTTTTTCTCATGATTGATTTCATGACGTGCCCACGTTCTGAATGTTCTCTCCCAATGCGACACGCATGCCTGCGCACAAAAACAATATGACGTGCCTTTATCTTCGGTAGATTTGCTACGATGGCTTTGAAATCTTTCTCGGTGAGCGTCATAAACCTGGCAATGACGTATGCATCATGCCACTGGCCGCTGGTACTTCCCATATGGTTGCCACTATGTGGTGAAACTCATGTGCACAAGACAGGTGATCAATGAACTGCTTTCACACATGCCTATCCCGCACGGAACTATAAGCCAGCTTGTGCAGTGTCCGATTGAACTGGCCACGGCGCTGCATACAGCTTAAAGCCTCGACATGAGAAAACGCTTTTCACGGGCGCTTGGAATGTAGTCTGCAAGAAATGTACGATGTCCGATTGAGCTGGTCACAGCGCTGCTTACAGCTTACAGCCTCGACATGAGAGAGCGCTTTTCGCGGCTGCTTGAGGTATAGGGTCTGCAAGAGGCAGCCGGCGGTAATCAAGCGAGGGTTGCCCGAATTGGCGGCCAGCCCGGGGGGGAAGTGAGAAGGGGCGGGCCTTCTCAGAAGGCTCTTAAGTTCCCCCGGCCTTCTGAACATGTTATCAGCCTTCCACGCAGACGCAAAATAACTTCTCAGAAGGCTGGACGGCGTGTGAGAAGTCCCGCCGCTCTCTGGGAAGGCCCGTCCTTCTCACTTCCCCCCCTCGCTCGCCGCCGAGTTTCAGCATCAGACAAATTTGGCAACTGCTGGGCACGGGGCCCGCGCGCCCACCGAGCGTCGCTATCAATTGTCCACGAGGGGGCAACGGGGTTTAAACAAAAAAAACATACGCAGAATTTTGTCCACGTTCAAGAATGCATTCCTGTTGTATGCTCGGTGCACTTTCAATGTATTTTCTGGTGCGTTTTCTGTTCATGTTCAGTGCGTCTTCCGTGCGTTTGTGCTCTCAACTGTACTCCCGGGTAGGACTTCCAATCCCAGTGGGGACCCTGGAACTGGATTGATTCCTGTTGTTCTCATTCCCACGCGGCCCCCCCACTATTCCCAGGTGCGCGGGCTTTCTCGGAACCCCCATGATGCAACAGGGGCGGTCTGGGGCATGCTCGGTGCATGTTCTGTGTGCTTTCAGTGAATCGTCGGTGCATTCTCGGTGCACGCTCGGAGTCTACTTTGTGTGTCTGTCGTGTACGTCTGGCGCCATGTCGCGCGCACCTTCGATTTCCACGGGCAAGTGCTGCCCAGGGCAGCCGCCCACGCGCGCGCAAGGGGAAGGGCGCCGAGACATTGCCAGATCTTCGGGCGGCAGAGCGCCGCTCCACCACATTTAAGAGCTTGCTTTCTTTTATGTTTTTTTTTGGGGGGAGGAAGAAGAGGAGAACGCAGCCACCTGACAGCCTGCAGATGATGATCGGAGAAGCCTCACGAGCCGTCTCTTGCCGCCTCTACAGGCGCGCAGCTGAAGCCATCATGTCTGGAACGGGGGGCGCGAAGCGTCAGGGTCCCCCCCACCCCCGCCGACACACTTCTGCGGGGCCCTCTCCGGGACCCGCGGGCCCCTCCCCCCCCAAACCCCTGGCGCAAGGGGGGGGGGGGTTCTGGAACCGGGCGGCCCCCTCCCCCCACGCGCGCCGAAGCAGACGGGTACGGCTTGGAACTGGGAAGCCCGCCCCCCCCCCCCCAGCTCGGGAGCGGCCAAGAAGGGGGTGTCCAAGAGAAGGGGTGCAAATCATGACCGGCGGCATGTGCGCGGCCCAGCGGGGGGGCCGGGGACGTAATGAAATGAGAAGAGGCGCCATGAGATCTGGGGAAATATCATGGCCCACGCCATGATATCCACCCCCCCTAGTCATCACCCCACTCTTTTCCGCCCCCGCCCCAGCGTGCCAGCAAACGAGGATGACGACGCCGCCGCGGGTGACGGTGACGACGGACGGCGACGCAAAGACGACGAAAACGACGGCCTCGCCGACGACCGCGACGGATGACGACAATCGGCGGCCGACGACCGACGCCCGACGACGACGACAACGGCGCCGAGGATGACGAACACGACGACGACGACGACGACGAGTAAGAATAACGACGAGACCCACGCACACGACGATTCTTTTACGCGGCACCAGGACCAAACGAGCCAGCACAGCGTTCAAGAAAAAACATGGTCCGCCGCAGGGAGCCGAATCTCTCGTGAGTCCCCGCTCGTGGGGCCACGTCTCGCGGGTGCTGACACAGGGGGGCTGCGTCGCGCTGCCACGAGACGCTCCGAGGAGGCATTTAATTCGTCAAACAAAAGCGCACACGACGATGCCGACGATGACGAGAGCAACAACAAGAACGACGACGACAGCGGGCGAGACCGAAACGGGCGGCGGGTCGAGCGGGCAGGGCCCTCTCACGGGCGAGTCGGGGCGACATGCAGGCGGGAAGGCGTGCTTCCCACCAGTCCATGGGGCGGCACCTTGAAAGGGGCCCTGGGACACACAAGCAAATACACACAAATACACAGGACTCCCTGTATTTTCCCATGTCTTCTGGGTGTTTGTCTTCCCCCCCACTTCCCATATTTTCCCATATTGTCTGGGGAATCGACGATTAATTGTGTCTGTGTGTTTTTTCCTGAACCTCAGCGGGGCGGGCGGGACACGAAGGCGGGAGGGCGTGCGCTCAGGGAGTCCAGCGGGCGGGAGCCCCGACGGGCGGACCGGGCCTGCGGGACACGAACAACAGGCAGGCGGGCGAGCCTGCAGACCATCCCAACAACTTGGACCCCTACCCGGCGGGTCGGGCGGGCGGGGCCCTCACGGCCGGGTCGAGCGGAGGGACATGAATGAAGGGGAACTGGGACACACAAATAAATACACACAAATAAAAATACGCGCCATATTTTCCCATATTTTCTGGGTTTTTGTCTTCCTCCCCACTTCCCATATTTTCCCATATCTTCTGGGGAATCGCCGATTAATTGTGTCTGTGTGTTTCTTCCTCTCCTGAATGAAGGTGGGCGGGCGGGCGCTGAAGCAGGCAAACGGGCGGCACCTCCACGGGCGCGCCAGGCGGCATCGCAACGGGCGGGTCGCGCTCTGGCGGGGCCCCGGCGGGCCGGTCGGGCGAGCGAGTGCCCGACGGGCGGGTCGGGCGGGCGGGACAGTCAAAGCGGGCTCACGGGACATTCATGCAAGCGAATGTCGTCGTCGTCGTCGTCGTCGTCGTCGTCGTCGTCGTCGTCGTCGTTTGTCATCCGTCGTCCGTCTTCGTCGGTTGGGGCGTCGCCATCGACCTTCGACGTCGTCGGCGGCGGCGCCGGGGGGCGGGGGGAGGCCCCCGGCTCCAGGCCACCGACCGGGCTCGCGGGGAGGGGGGGGCCTGGTTCTCCCGAACTCCTCCCGCCCGCCCTGGCGCACGGGGCCCCCCCCCCAGGCAGGCCCGCGCCGCGAGGCAATCGTGACGGGCGGCTTGTTGCATCTTTTGGGAGGCTCTGGGGGCCCTCCATCGGAGGCTCCCGGGCCGTAAAACAAAGACGCCTCGGGACGAAGAGCCGGGTCCGGACTTCTGGGGGGGGCGCCCCGCGCTGCAAAGAGCAAGGCGTCGCATATGCCTGGGGCGCGGGAGAACCCCAGGGCCCAGACCCCCCCCCGTCCGCCGCGCGGGCCGCCCCCCCCCCCCCCCCCCCCCCCCCCCCCCTGCGCCCGTTGGGAGGGGGGGCGGGGCTCCCAGGTTTCTACTACCGCCTGCCCCCCCCGCCAAAGGGCAGTGAGAGGCGAGCATCCTGCAAGAACGTGCAGAGAGGCTTTATCTATCCTATGCTGCCAGCCAGCAGACGTGTTCTGCGCGATTGAGCTGAGAGGCGGTACGACAGTATCCAGTATGCGCACGCCAACAAAAATGCCAACGAGCCCATGCCGACACGTACGCTGCAGTCTCGTCCTGCACGCATCCCACTGGCGAGATATATGCATGATGCATGTGTGCTCGTTCCAACTCCACGTGCCCCCCCGTCTCGTACGCGCAGGGGCTGCATGCAACGACGAACTCTCAAGAAATATGGAAGCGACCGCTGGCTCGAGGACACAAGCCCTGTGCTTGCCGCCACGCGCTGCACGAACCACAACAACACTATGCAACTCATTTCTGCTGCAGCTCGCCTTCGTCCTGTGGAGTCTTTGATCATGAGCTTCGGTACTCGCCTGAACTCCGCTACCGAGTCGACCCTTCCAGCGCCATTGCTGATCTGACAACGCCATTTTTGGGACATTTATCTGTCAAGGACACCCGCCCCCATTCCTGTTCCCGTGTGCCTGTTCCCACGTGCTTTCTCCCCTGTTGACTGTACCATGCCTCTCTAGCTGGCTCTCGCTCTCTCTCTCTCTCTCTCTCTCTTTTTTGTTCTCTCTCTCTCTCTCTCTCTCAACTTATCTCTTTATATATTTATACAGCTCTGTCTCCTTCTCTCGGCTTCTCTCTCTCTCTACATGTACACGTAGAAAACCATGTAATCAACAAGACACGTGCGGGAGACTTGCCAGCGTGGACCTCCAACAGTGACGACCGTGGACGCGGAAGCCGCGCGGCGCACGCGCGTGCGGTGCAGGCCGGGTGGTGCACGCTGTGCGGTGGCACCCCTGCGATGCAAGCCACCACGTCGTGCCGACGCTGTCGTGTAACCCTGTCGTGTAACCCTGTCGTGCCAAGGAGGTCGTGTAGCCCGTGTCTCTGCGAGGCAGCCCGCCCTGTCGTGCCAACGCCGCCGTGCAAACCATGTGGAGCGCAAGTCCTGTGGTGCATGCCTCGCGGGGCGCCCGCGAGGCGCCCACGGACGGCCCCCCTGCGCGGCGCCCCGGAAGCCCTCCCCCCCCCCCCTCCCCCCCCCCCGAGCCCCGAGCCCCGAGCGGTCCTTCCACAAGAAACCTTCCACAAGAAACTGAACCCTGAGATCCCAGGACGTCCCTCGATTTCTGGTGGGAGAGCGTCACGCCTTCCGTGGCGAAGCCATCGACCATCGAAACCCAGGAAACCCAGGGCACCCTGGAGGCGAGCAGGGTGCTTCTTGGCCTGGGCCCCCACTGTAGAGCCCAGAGCGGTCCCTGCTGCGAGCGCCCTGGCAGCACGCCGGGCGGCCGCGCCCGCGCCGCGCGCGGCGCGGAGCGCGAACGGCTTCGTGCGCTCGCGCCGCCTCTGTAGAGAGGACGAGGAGGAGGAGGGAGGAGGGAGGAGGGAGGAGGGAGGAGGGAGGAGGGAGGAGGGAGGAGGAGGAGGAGAAGGAGGAGGAGGAGGAGGAGGAGGAGGAGGAGGAGGAGGAGGATGCGGGGGATGGGGGACTACGAGGGCCACCAGCAAGGCTACAAAGGCCACGGGCTGAGCTACGCGGGACACGAGCTGAGCAGCAAGGGCCTCCAGAAGAGCCACCAGCGCCACCAGCTGAACTACAAGGTCTACAAGCGGAGCCTCCAGAGGCCTCGCCACAGCTGCGAGGACCACCAGCCGAACTAATTACGGGGGCAACAAGCCGAGCTACGAAGGCCGCGAGCAGAACTCCGAGAGCCACCGGCTGAGCTACGTGGGCCACGAGAGGAGGACGAGGAGAGCGACGAGCAGGACGAGCCCATCTGCATCCCGCACGCCGCGCTCCAGGGGCTGGAACTCCTCAAAGCCATGGCCGCCGACGGGCAGGCAATCACAGAGGCCTTCGCCATCACAGTGGGGGGCCGACCACAGGAAACCTTCCACAAGAAACTGAACCCTGAGATCCCAGGACGTCCCTCGATTTTTGGTGGGAGGGCGTCACGCCTTCCATGGCGAAGCCATCGACCATCGAAGCCCAAGAGACCCAGGGCACCCTGGAGGCGAGCAGGGTGCTTCTTGGCCTGGGCCCCCACTGTAGAGCCCCGAGCGGTCCCTGCTGCGAGCGCCCTGGCAGCACGCCGGGCGGCCGCGCGCGCGCCGCGCGCGGCGCGGAGCGCGAACGGCTTCGTGCGCTCGCGCCGCCTCTGGAGAGGACGAGGAGGAGGAGGGAGGGAGGAGGGAGGAGGGAGGAGGGAGGAGGGAGGAGGGAGGAGGGAGGAGGGAGGAGGGAGGAGGGAGGAGGGAGGAGGAGGAGGACGAGGCATGGGCCCCCACTGCAGGGCCATCCCGAAACTCCCGAGCCCCGCGTACAGAGCAAGCCCCACGACGCGGTGGTGCTCATATAGGCAGGAGCGGCGACCGCCGCTACGAGGACGGGGGCGCGATATCGGGTCCGCGCGCGCGGCCCCCTCGGGAGCCATCGAGGAGCGCTCTTTCTTGTCCGCCCGCGGCCTCTGCGAGGCGCACCGGAAAAGGGATACCTACGGTGGGGGCCGGTCCACAAAGAGACCTGCCACGAGGAAGCCAACCCTGAGACCCCAGGACGTCCATGGTTTTTTGGTGTGAGAACGTCACGTGTTCCCTCGCACAACCGTCGAACTCCCAGAAGCCCAGGGCACCCTGGAGGCAAGCAGGGTGTTTCTTGGCACGGGTCTCCACTGTACAGGCCAGCGATCCATGCCTATCAAGGCCGCAGAACTCCTACGACGACAGGAGGAGGACGAGTGCGACGACGAGCACTGCGAGAGCGACGTGGAGCAGGAGGAACGCAACGAGAAGTACAACATCTGCTCCGACGAAGGCAAGTGGAACGCTGAGTACTAAGACCTAGCATAGCAAACAAACGACGACTCTGGGGAATCATGGCGAGACCGACCTGCCTGAAGCCAGGGAAGATTACGAAGTACTGCAGCGCAGCGGACAAGGGCATGACGTGCACGTGCCACGGCTATCACGCTACAGACAAGGTGCCCCGTGTACAATGTTGCCGCCAACTAGCCATCGCTCGGACGTCTATTTCCTGTTTTTTTTTCGGTTTCGTGCGTGGCTTTTTCGCCAAGTGATCAAAAATGCTCCTCGATGGTCCTCGCCGAAGGAAAAATGCACGTCCGAGCGATGCCGAGACAATGTCGCCGCCAAGGTACTATGTCTACGACAGGTACACAGCTGCTACGGTTCAGTGGCCCCGCCGCTCCTCCCACTTCTCCCCCTCCCCCTCTGCGGCCTCGGGTGGTATTCGAGTGTCGGCGGCCTTCCCCTCCTGGCCATCGCTCGGACGTCCACTCCCTGTGCTTTTGTTCGGTTTCGTGCGTGGTTTTTTCGCCAAGTGATCCAGGATGCTCCTCGAGGATCCTCGCCGAAGGGAAAATGCACGCGTCCGAGCGATGCCAAGCAGGTGGTATTCGAGTGTGGGCGGCCTTCCCCTCCTTCCTCCCCCCCCTTCGGACGGGGCGGGCCCGCCCTGGACCCGGCCGCGCCCGCGCGCGTCGGGCGCCGGGCGCGCCCTGTGAGTGACGCCCGATGGCGTCACGTGAGTATCGGGGAGACGTAAGACCCGGGTACGGGGGACTCGGAAATCCCCGACGAAGTCGTCAAAAAAATGACGAGGCCGAGCCTGCATTTTGACGAGGCCTCCCGCTGCAGACATCCCACGAAACTCCTCCTCGTCAAAATCCGAGTCGCGGTCGTCAAAAAACGATGGCGAACCCGAGTCCCGGCAAACCCGGGTCTTACGCTCCCCCGAGAGTACGGAAGATGGGGAACGAGGGGGAGGGGGGCCGCGGGCTGCAACGCGCGCACGACTTCGCGCCCTCGTGCTGGCCAGTGGGTACTGGAGGGGAAGAATGAGGGGGCCCTGGGACACACACACATAGATACACACAAATAAAAAGATTCCCCATATTTTCACATATCTTCTGGGATTTTGTCTTCCCGCCCAATTCCCATACTTTCCCATATTTTCTGGGGAATCGACGATTACTTGTGTCTGTGTTTTTTCCCCTCTTGAAAGAATACGATGGCCATGAGCGAGATTGAATGTGAACGCGGACGCGTCGGTGTCGATCTTGGTCGTCGTCCATTCGTCGATCACCCTCGCGAATCGGCAACGGCCGGCAGGGACCCAATCGGCGACGGCCAACATGGAACATGACCAACATCGGCATCGATAAACTCCCGTCTGGTCATGGTGCCCGTGCTTTATCTCCCTCTCGAGCTGCGCACTCCCATGCCTAGAATGCCCAGTGCCCCCCGTGCCCAGGTTCTGCCTCAGGCCATCGCCGGAGCGGAAGTTCGACACCAGCACCTCCCGAGGCGGCGGGGGCGCGCCATCCAGTTCGGGTCGGAGCTGGCAGAGGAGACTGTAGATGAGCGCGCTGGGCACTTGAGAGAGGCACCCCCAAGAGGCCCCCCGAGAAGCCTTCGGGAGAGGCTCCCAAGAGGCCCCCCAAGAGACCCCAAGAACGGCGGCGGGCTCGCGCGAGGGCTGCCACATTCGCCGCCCCCTGTTACCTGCAAGAGGTGACTGATGATCAGGTCGTTGATGTGCTGCACAACAACCATGTGAGCCCTGCCAGAAGGTTCCCAATGGCCTCTGGCTCAGCCCGCAAACCCACCTCAGGTCTTCAAATTTCTTTTCCGCTCAAAATGGCTCAATGATGTCAAGAGCTTTGTGGGCCCCAGAAACGGCAGGGCCGTGTTTTCACCGTTTCCAGAAAAATGTCCCTTAAAAATAAAAGCGGCAAACAAACGGCGACCGGAAACGGCAAAAAAACAGCTCCAGGATTGGAACCGGAGCCGGAGCCGGCGACGGAACCGGTAAAAAAACGGCGTTGGAACCGGCACAAAAACGGCAAAACGGAATCGGTAAAAAAACGGCCCTGTCGTTTCCAGGGCCCACTGAGGTCAAGAGCACCTAAATTGCCCTCAAGACGGTCCAAGGTGGCCTCCAAGAGAGCGGTACGGCTCCAGTGGCCACAGGCGGGCCGATGTTGCTCTAAGACGGCCCAGGATGGCCTCGAGGCGGCGCACGCAGCCCCCAAGAGGGCTCCCAGAGGCCTCCTACAGTCGGGGCGTTGACCTAAGGAACCCTAAATAAGGAACGAGGCCCCTGTTTTCCATAAGTTGAACTTCGATTTCCTATCGAAAGCCTAAGGAAAATCCAGGGCAAGCTGTGAAACACTTAAGGAACGCGGAGCCCCTCCCCAACCAAAAGGGTTCCTTCTTCAGGGCCCCGACTGTAGGAGAGGCCGAATCCTCCTCCATTCTCTTTCTCCCCCAAGCGTTTCCCCAAAGGTCTCCACAACGGCTGTGGGGAACACATGGTTCAATCGCTTGGCCAAGCTTTGGCCCAACGCTTGGCGAGATCGGCACTGTACCGAAAGGCGGGGGGCAGCGGTGATTCGCCGCAGGCGTCTTCGATACTTCCAAGGGCCCCGGCAACTCAAGCAGGCGATCTGCAGCGATTTCCACAGCGCCTGGGTATCACCCGATAGGAGCATGGTGTCTGGTCTTGACTATGCCTGGACGCCTGGAGCAACAGTCAAGGAGTGCGGTTCCACGTGCAGCGGTGCCTCCAAGAAAACAACACATGTCCAGACTCACAGTTAGACGCTGCTGTAGTAAGGGAACGACCGATGCTGTCTGGGTCGGGCCATCGCTAAATCCACTGGACCGGTAAAGTTTGCATGGACGCCTGCTGGCTCTTCGGCTCAGGCTTGAAAAAGGAAGACTTGGTCGTGATCGGGCATGCCAGCGGTGCTTCGATCTGCGTCAGAAGATGTATCGAGAGAGACAGAGGGAGAGAGGATGATAATAATACTCAGATCGTGATAACTGAAAGAGCGTGTTCTACCGCTGCTGGCGGAAAACAGGGGGGGAGTCACTGGGGGTTCCCAACCCGTCCCACCCCCTCGCCGCCGGCAACCGATCCCCGCTCCTCAGGACAGTTGACAGTGGTGGGAATACTGGGACAGTGGTGGGGACGGTGGTGGTGGGGACAGTGGTGTGGGGACAGTGGGACAGTGGTGCGCACAGTGGGACAGTGGTGGGGACGGTGGTGGTGCGACAGTGGTGAGGGGACACCTGGACCACCTGGACAGTGGTGGGGACAGTGGGGACAGTGGGACAGTGGTGGGGACGGTAGTGGTGGGGACAGTGGTGAAGGCGGTGGTGAGGACGGTGGTGGGACAGTAGTACAATGGGGGGAGTGGTGTGGACAGTGTGGACAGTGGGACGGTGGTGGGGACAGTGGGGACAGTGGGACAGCACAGTGGGACAGCGGCGGGGACAGTGGGGACAGTGGATCAGTGGTGGGAACAGTGGGGCAGTGGTGGGGACAGTGGGGACAATGGGGAGAGTGGGACGGTGGTGGAAAATGGTGGGGAGAGTGGGGACAGTGAGACACTGGTGGGGGCATTGGTGGGGACAGTGGGGACAATGGTGGGAACAGTGGGGACAGTGGTGGGGACTGTAGGACAGTGGTGGGGACGGGGTGGTGGGGACAGTAATGTGGGGACAGTGGGACAGTGGTGGGGACAGTGGTGGTGGGGACAGTGGTGAGGGCGGTGGCGAGGCCGGTGGTGGGACAACGGGACAGAGGTACAGCGGGGACAGTGGTGGGGACAGTGGGGACAGTGGTGGGAACAGTGGGACAGCTCAGTGGGACAGCGGCGGGGACAGTGGAACAGTGGGACGGTGGGGACAGTGGGACTGTGGTGGGGACCGTGGGGAAAGTGGGGAGAGTGGGACCGTGGTGGGAACAGTGGCGGGGACAGTGGGGACAGTGCGACAGTGGTGGGGGCGCTGGTGGGGACAGTGGGGGCGGTGGTGAGAACAGTGGGGACAGTGGTGGTGTGGACAGTGGTGCTGGGGACCGCAGTGGGGGATGTGGTGCGGACGGTGGTGGGGACCTGGGAGTCGTTTGCTGGCGGTGAGTGTGGGGGGGGCGCGGGGTTCCGGTAGTGACCCTCCCTGGTTTTCTGGAAGGGGGGGGTTCGATCCGGTAGTGACCCCCCGCGTTTTTGTTTGTTTGTTTGTGTGTGGGGGGTATTCGAACCGGTAGTGATTCCCCCCGGTTTTCTGGAAGGGGGGGTCGAAGTGGTAATGACCCCCCTCGGTTTTCAGGAGGGGGGGGAGATGTTAGGGGGGGGGCTTGCCGCGGAGAAGGGGGGGGATCCAGCGGGGGGGAAGGGATTTTCGAAGGAGGGGGGACCTCCGGGTTCCGGAGGAAGAGGGGGGGGAATTTTCCACAGTAAAACGGCGGCGGATCAGATCACGCTTTCTCTGATAACTAGAACCATCACGCACACTTCGCGTACGCTCAAGCTCTAGCCACGGGGCCAAGCGTATACTGCGTCACAAGGGCCGTGTCCAGATGATCGGGCGTTTGGCTTGGAAGCAACCGCGCTGGTGTTTGAAAAGTCGCATTGGAGCTTGGCGTTCGCAGCCAGTACTGGATCATCCTTGGGCAATTCTGCAATTCTCTTCGGGACGATTTGGGCCCCTGGGGCCTCCTGGAACCACACTTTCGCAATCCATGGGATTTCCAAATGTCAGCCAGCGCTGACCACTAACAACAACTTCCTAGCAGTCTTGGGTGCGTGTTATACGTCGGACAATCGATACTATGCAACCTACGTGGTGCAATCTAAGTGACGCAGTTGAGTTTAGCGAGCCGTTGACGCATCCCACGCTCTTGCAAACATCCCACCGACCCAACCGCAACTCGGTTTGCAAAACCCACGCGGTAGCGATTGCGATGCATGCTTGGTGTTGGCTGGTGAATTTCCGCGGCCGCTCCAACCCAAGCGCCCGCGCGCAGCTGCTAGCTAGTTTGGCGCGACCGACGCGGCCGCGGTGGCGCTGACCGCTGGGCACATCCCAGCGGGCATTTCACCGCGAGTCGGCGACTTGGGCGGGCGCGGTATCATGGCAACGTCGACTACGGTAGACACGATAATGATAACAACGGTGCTGGTGACGATGTTGACATAGACGACGGCGCGGGCAGTGCGGGCGCAGATGCTGATCACGCCGACGACGATGACGGCGTCCTCGCGTCGGTGATGAAGGGTTTGGGAGAGAGTACGACATGCGCGCGCGGCCGACGCGCGAGTGGCCCGCATGGTATTGCTTGACACGGATCGTGCCCCGCAGCACGCGCGCGAGGGCGTGCGAAAGATGTCGGCATGCGGCGCGAGAGGCCCGCTTTGTAGAATTCCATGAACATGTTGAAAAATACATCGTATGATTTTCTTCAAGAGTTCGCAAGAGCGCGAGCGAACGCTTTTTTGAAAGCTGATGTTGCGAACGCATTTTTTATCGAATGTGTTTTTGGACGCTCGGTTTTGCAATCGTTACGAAACCGGAAGTTGTTTGACGGATTCCGGCATGCGCGCGCGACGACGCGCGCGCGTGCACTTCATCATTTTCTTGCAGCAGGATTCTCGAGACGGCACGCGCGCAAGGGCGTTCGAACGATTTCGACATGCACGCGCTAAGTACGTTTGGTCGTTTGGTGGCATTTTCTGACATGGTGAGCAACCTATGGTTTTCTCCAGAATTCGCCAAAACGCGCGCGTTATATTTGATAACTCGCGTTGCAAAACCATGTGTTATATATATATATATATGTGTGTTGGGACACTCCGCTTCGAAATCCTTACGCAACCAAGAGATGTTGAAGGATTCTGGCATGCGCGCGCGACGACGCGCGCGTGCATGTCGTCATATGTTTGCAGAAAGGCTTTTGAACACTTCTGATAAGCGAGTGCGCGGGTATCGTATCTGTTGCACAGGGTGGCGGGGGGGGGGGCGATACCTGTTGGGCTGGGATGGTATATGGATTCATATGCAGGATGGACGATGGGGCAGAATAATGTGTAGATTGCAATACGAGAAAGGGGGTCGATAATCCCCAGGGGGGAGTCTATTCTTTTTCCCCACCCTCCTTGGTTGGGTATTCTTCCCCATATCCTAAGATGGGGTTCTTGTTATTACTTGGACGCCTCCTACTCCTTCTCCTCCCTCCTCCTTCCTCCTCCCCTCCTCCTCTTTCCTCATACTCAGACCTACTCATACTCAGACTTACTCATGCTCAGACTTACTCATACTCAGACCTACTCATACTCAGACTTACTCACACTCAGACATATTCATACACAGACTTACTCATACACAGACTTACTCACACCCAGACGTACTCATACACAGACTTACTCATACCCAGACTTACACATACACAGTATTACTCATACTCAGACTTACTCATACCCAGACGTACACATAAACAGACTTTCTCACGCT